CAGCTAATTTTTGATTTATTGTAGAGATGAGGTCTTGCCAAGTTGCCCAGGCGGGTCACGGGCTCAGGCAATCCACTCACCTCGGCCTCCCAAGGCGCAGGATTACAGGCTGAGCCACCGAGCCCGGCTGGTCCCACTTTCTATCTGGAAGTGAGGCCCAGACACTCTGTGGGGGCTGGGTCTGCAGGTGGCCCTGCCAGGTACCTGTCATATCTCTGCGAGAGTGGATACTGTGCCAGTCCAGGCATGTCCAGACCACTGGTGCTAGGCTTGGGGGAGACACAGGGCACACCAGGACACTGCCTTTTAAAGATTGTATCCTCTGTCCCGAACGGTTTCCCCAACACGCTGGTCAGCTTGTCACACCCCTGCCCACGCTGCCTGTGCTCCCCGGTCTGGCTGCAGTGGTGATGTGGGCAGCACAAAAGCCAAGGCAGCCGTCCCCAGTCCTTCCAGACCCTGAGTCCAAGGTTGGCTTGATATGCTTCCTCCGTTGCGCCAAACCCGAGGGCTTCGCTGTAGGCCCAGCAGCAAGGGAGGGAAGGGACCCCTGTGGGTAGATCCCAAGGCCTGGGGAAGTCGAGGCCCAGGGCAGGCTGTTGACCTGGTGGGTGGTAATGTGGAAAGCAGAGGCTAGGGCTCCCAGGAGTCACTGTGGATCTCCCAAGCTGCCAGCTCCCTGGTAATCAAGGAACACCCCAAGTGGTCAGGTCCCTGTCCTCAAATGCCTAGGTCCAGCAAGCTGGCTATTTCCAGAACCCAGGGAGGGAATAGCAGCCCTGTCTCAGATGGGGTCAAGCTGTGGTCAGCATCTTCGGTTGGAAAGTGGAACAGATGTCCTCAAGGAGAGACCTGAACTAGCCTCACAGCTGTGCCGAGGCTGGGTCAGATGGAGTTGCAAAGCCCGCCGGCCTCACATTTCTTGGCGAGTCCGACTGTTCTGCAGCCGCCAGTGTCAGGAGGACTCAGTCCCTGGCATCCCTTGCACCCCTTCCACGCTGACCGTGTAGCAACAGGAGGAAGGGGGCAGGTGAGGGGCAAAGAGTACCCGCAGGGTCCGGGCTGGCTGGCTGGGTGGGCCAAGGGTGGCCTCTTCCTCGCGGGACCGGTCAGCCATGAGTCTCACCAGGAGCTGGTTGGCCCAGGTGATGCCAAGGGCTGGAGAAACGCGCTCATCCCAGACACTGAGAAACAGAAGCGGGCCCCAGGTGCTCAGAAAATCTGAGGGCCTGCTCACCTCGGCCCAGCCACTCATCCTGTGTGCTCGCCAACCCCTACCTCTCCCCCACCTCCGCCTGTGTACTCGGATGCAGCCACACTCACCCTGGTGGCCTGGGTGCTGCACTGTGCTCCTCCATGGCTTCTGTAACCTGGAAGATCCAAATCTAGGTCAGCTTCCCAAAGTTTAGGCAAAAGCTGCTGCCTACAAGGAGCCAGAGGCCACTGCCCTGCTGCTCGCCCCACCTCCAGCCTGATCCTGCTTTGAGTCCTGGCTAAAAGACGAACCCGTCGGGCGAGCAAACTGCTATCAGGGCATGGTGTACCTGGTTGATGCACAGCACGGGGCTCTGGAAGGTGCTGCTCAGTGCCCGCAGTGCCGCCCCCAGGGACTGCAGACACTTGGCCTTGAGGGCTGAGGCTTGGACATCGAATTCACAGCGGAACGGGGCTGCCACTGAGTCGATAACCACCAGGCGGGCCATGCCATGGGACAGCAGGACAGGGACCTTCTTAGTCACACACTCCAACAGGGTGTCCTGTGGGAGTGAGGGGATGGCTGTCACTGCTTGTGCTGGCTGGCAGCTCCCCACCCTAGGTAACCAGACCCCTTCTAGCCATGTCACCTCGATTTCTGACCCCCAGCCTTCCAGCGCTGTGCTGCTTGCTGCCTCCTGCCCACCCGGGGCCCCAACACCCTGAGCTCAATTGTGTACTTTCCTTTCCTACAAAAGCTTCAGTTATCCAAGCTCCAGGCCTGCACAGCCTGATCCCTCCCAAGCAGTCTCCCTCAGCCGTGCCTGGTTCACTCCCTTCAAAGGCATCCTTTGCCCTGATTCCTGTCCCCTGTGCCTGCCCACCTAGCATCCTAGTGCCAGGCTTCCACCTTCTGCGCCCTTGAGCCTGACCTCCCCCTGCCATCCACCAGTTTCCCCTCGCATGCCCCCCCTCCGGTCAGCAGTGACTAGTCTTCCCCTTTGTGGCTCCACACCAGATGTTGAGACCACCAGGACCCAGCCGCCTCTCTAATGCTGACCTCTAGCCGACATGATCACCTGAGCTCTGCTCTTCCCAGGCGGGTCTGGAGGGCATCCCTGCCTGGCTACTCAGTGAGGCCTCACCCCAGATGTGAATGTGGGAGGCCATGTAGGGGGCAGGGTAGGGCTGTGGGTGGAGATGCCCCAGGGCCAGCACCTCTTGAGACCTTAGCCCTGTGCAGCCCCAAGCAGCCCTGGCCTGGCCAGGGTGTGGAAATGGCCCCAGCCTATCAGTTGTGGGAAGGGCTCCCCAGGGAGGTCAGGTGTCCTAGAGCCTCCCTTGGGGTACTGAGCTCTGCTGGCAGCGGGGCCAGGGGTCATCAGCACAGCTGGGCTGGCCTCTGACTGCAGAGCTTGGCGCAGCTGGGGCAATGGGGGAGGAAGGTCAGACAGCAGCTCCTGGGCACTGAGCAGGACAGAGGCCCCTAGTGGGCACTGGGGTGGGTGAGGTGTCCCCATGTCCCTCGAGTCCAAGGTCTGCGGCCAGACACTGGCATGGTGTCCATAAACCTGGAGATGTGAGGGTGTGCCCACCCTGAGTGAAATGCAGTCTGTGCTTGTCCCCAGGGCGCCCCCAGCAGAGCCTCTCTTTGTGGAGAACGACAGCGGCAGCAGCGGCCTGGAAGACGCCCCCGCTAACGTGAGTCTACACCTGCGTTTCTGGGCAGAGGGGGCACTGGAGGTGCTGTGGAAAGAGGGACCCGGGAACAGGCTGCAGGCTGGGCCTCCAAGAGGGGCCTGGATGAGACCCCATCCTCACTCGAGGGCCGCAGAGGAGGCCCAGGAGTCAGTTTTGGCCCCAGGTTCTGCTTACACAGAAGGGGATCTTCATGTCCCCTTTAGACTCCATTGTCTGCAGCCAGATGTGTCACCAGGGGGTCCCCCACAGTGGCTGGGCCTCACTTCCGTTCAGATGTAGGCCCTTGGCACTTCAGAGAGCACAGACCTTGGCCCTAAGAAGGCCCACACCCAGCAAAACCCCTCCTCTAGGCAGGCAGGGAGCTGCCCCCCAGGTAACTGTTTCCAGAACAAAACCTGGAAACACCAGTGGGTCTCAACAGCTGGGCCCTGACCTCTGGTCTTCTTTTGCAGTGACCCCGGCCCAGCCCTGCTCCAGGATGAGGCCAAGTGTGGCGCGGAGCCAGCCCTGGGACCACCAGGGTGGCAGGGAGGGCCCCCTGGCCAGGAGCCTGGCACTAATTCTGTTCTTGTCTGTGTGTGTGGGGCACGATACTAATAACCACATTGCTGGCAGGGCCTTGGGTGAGGCTTGGCTTGGTGTTTGCCCTGGTGCAGGCCCGCCCCTCCCAGGAGACCCCCAAGTGATCCTTGCACCCACTGGGGCTCTGAGCCTCACTTCTCACGTTACTTTACCATATTGTGTGATATGTATTTTATTGTAAATTTTTTAAATTAAAAGTTTATATGCCTTATGCTTTACTTGAAAGTTTTTTCTTATAACACCTTGCCGAAGTAGGGGAATGACTAGGTGTGGTAGCTCATGCCTATAATCCTGGCATGTTGGGAGGCCGAGGTGGGAGGACTGCTTGAGCCCAACAGGTCAAAGCTGCAGCGAGCTTAGGATCACACCACTGCACTCCACCTAGATGCCAGAGCAAGACCATGTCTCTATTTTTATTTTATTTTATATTTTTTGAGTCAGAGTCTGTTGCCCAGACTGGAGTGCAGTGGTATGCTCATGGCCACTGCAACCTTGACCTGCAAGGCTCAGGCAATCCTTCCACCTCAAATTTCCAAGTAGCTGGAACTACAGGCATGTGCCACCACACCCAAATTTTTGATTTATTGTAGGGACGAGGTCTCGCCATGTTGCCCAGGCTGGTCTTGAATCCCTGGGCTCAGGCAGTCCTCTTGCCTCTGCCTCCCAAAGTGCTGGGATCATAGCCATGAGACACCATGCTGGGCTTTAGACCCTGTCTCTAAAAAACAGAAAAAGTGGTTGGATGCAGTGGCTCACACCTATAATGTAACCCCAGCACTTTGGGAGGTCGAGGCAAGAGGACTGCCTGAGCTCAAGGGTTAGAAACCAGCCCGGGCAACTTGGGCAAGACCTCATCTCTACAATAAGTCAAAAATAAGCCATGTGTGGTGGTGCACGCCTGTAGATCCAGCTACTGGGAAGGTTGAGAGGTTGAGGCAGAAGGATCACCTGAGCCCATCAGGTCCAGGCTGCAGTGGCTGTCAGCATGCCACTGCACTCCAGCCTGAGCAACAGAGTGAGAGTCCTCCCCTCCCCACCAAAAAAAGGAAAGGCCCAGGAGGAGGCACCCAGGGTGGGCTGGGCACACAGGTGCTCCCCACGCACAGGGCATAATTTCCTTATTTACTTCTGGTGTGTGGGCTTTTTTATATTTGAGAGACAGTCTCCCTACCTTGTCTGGACTGGCTGCTGGGCTCAAGTGATCCTCCCACCTCAGCTTCTGGTGTATAGGTTTATCTAAAACGTCCCATCTTTCCCTCTGAGTCCTTTTTGCTCATTGCTTCTCCCTCTGAGTCAAAGCTGACCTGGTCACTGTGCTGCTTCCCTGGCCGTGAGGATCAAACCCCAGCCCCTCCTGTCTTGCTCCCTGGCCACAGGATGAACTCTGATCCTGTGCATGGCCTGTGTAAGCTCCCACTACTCAGCAAAGCCCCACGTCACTGAGTTGTTTCTTTGCTGCTTCTTTCAATGTGGGGGGCTGGGGAATGAGGGCACTCACCACGTCAGCTGCGTGCTCGATGAAGATCTGGTTGCCAAACTTGATTGTGCGGACCAGCTCCCCTGGGATGTCTTTGCGCAGTTGCGGCTGCTGCTCAATGAGCTGCTGCAGGCGCCTACTGGGGAAGGCATCCTCCGTGCAGATGTAGACGGCACCTGGGAAGCCAGAGGACCCACCCATGTGCCCAGAGGGCCCGAGATGCCCCTGTGACCGCCATGCAGACCCAATGCCAAAATCTGCCCTCAGTGTCCAACCCTTTGCCGCTGGTGGGTTCACCCCCGACAGCAGAGGAAGCAGCTGCTGCTGGTTCCCACGCTCCTACTGCAGCCACCTTGGGCCATGCAGCCCCTCAGAAACATGGGCCTCAACTCTGACACCCGGTGAGTGCATCTCCTGTCCTGCTGCTGGGTAGGGGAGTTCGGAAGTAAGAAGGCCTGTGGACTTTTGGAAATGCCCCTGCCTCACACACATGGCTGCTCCCAGAGGTTCCATCGAGCAGATATTTCCTCTGCTCCACTCTCAAGGCTCCTGCAGTCGGGGCTATGCAAGTCAGTCATCGGGGCGTGAACACCCCACCGGGACAACAGGCTGGCCTGGGCCCGGGTCCTCCAGCAGAAAACGTACCCTGAGAGTTTCACAGCTAAAAAGAGCCAAGTGCCACCTGAAACAGACCCTTACGCTCATGAGCAGGTGGTTTTCAACACAGATGCCAGGAGTACTCAATGCGAGGAAAGAATCTTTTTTTTCGACAAGCGGTATTGGAACAACTGAATATCCCCTTGCAAAGCAATGAAACTGGACCCTTACCTCCTACCATATACAAATAATAAGTCAAAATGGGTCAAATATGAGAGCTAAAACAATACAACTCTTAGAAGAAAACAGGTAAGTCTTCACTACCTTAGATCAGGCAATGTTTCTTAGATGTGACACTAAAAGCACAAGCAACTTAAGAAACCGGACTTCATAAAGATAAAAAATGTGGCCAGGTGCAGATGCTCAAGCCTGTAGTCCCAGCACTTTGGGAGGCCGAGGCCAGAGGATTGCCTGAGCTCAGGAGTTCAAGACCAGCCTGAGCAACTTGGTGAGACCTTGACTCTACAATAAAATTAAAAACAAACAACAACAAAATAATGGCATGGTAGTGTGCACCTGTACTTGCAGCTACTTGGAAGGCTGAAGCAGAAGGATTGCCTGAGCCCAGCAGTTCGAGGCTGGAGTGGCCATGAGTGTGCCACTGCACTCCAGCCTGGGTGACAAAGTGAGACTGATTCCAAAAAAAAAAAAAAAGATGAAAAATGTTTGGACTATCGAGAAAATGGGCCCATCTTTTCCGAGAAAACACCAAATGGCAGCAGGAGGGCTGAGGGGCTCAGGAATGGAAGGCCGTGGCGCCTTTTGTGGAGGTTCGGCAGTGGCCTCCCAGGCCGAGGTTGCAGCTGTGGTCAGGACCAAGACCGTGGAACTTGTGGAGATACGACCGAGGACCAGGAATGGACAACGGGCTGCTTGGTCAAGGACATAAAGATCAAGTTGCTGGAGGAGAGCTGCCCATCAAGGAGTCTGAGACCACTGACTTCTTCCTAGGGGCATCTCTGAAGGATAGGGTTTTGAAGACCATGCCAATGCAAAAGCTGACCCACAGACCAGGTTCAAGGTGTTTGTTGCCATGGGGGCGCAATGGCCATGTCAGTCTGGGAGTTAAGTATTCCAAGAAAGCAGCCACTGCCATCTGAGGGGCCATTATCCTGGCCATGCTCTCTACTGTCCCTGTGCAGAGAGGCTACTGGGGGAAGAAGGTTAGCAAGTCCCACAGCGTCCCTTGCAAAGGTTACTGACCACTGTGGCTCTGTGCTGGTGTGCCTTACTTAGCCCTGCCCCCAGGACACTAGCATAGTTTCGGCCCCCAAGCCCAAGAAGCTGCTGCTAATGGCTGGTAGTGATGACTGCTGGTAGTGACGACTGCTACACCACGGCCAGGAGCTACACTGCCACCCTGGGCAACTTTGCCAAGGCCACCTTTGGTGCTATCTCTGAGACATATAGCTTACTTGACCCCTGACCTCTGGAAAGAGACTGTATTCACCAAATCTGCCTATCAGGAATTCACCAATCATCTTGTCAAGACCCACACCAGAGTGCAGAGAACCCAGGCTCCAGCTGTGGCAACATAGGGCTTTTGTATAAAAAAATAAAGTGAATCAAGCCTGTCAAAAAAAAAAAAAAGATACTATCAAGAAAATGAAAGGACAATCCAAAGAGAAAATATTTGCTAATCACATATCTGAGAAGAGATATGTATGCATAATATATAAAGATTTCTTTTTTTTTTTTTTGAGTTGGAGTCTCACTCTGTCGCCCAGACTGGAGTGCAGTGGCCGCTCCCAGCCACCGCAGCCTCGACCCGCTGGGCTCCGGTGATCCTTCCGCCTCAGCCTTCCAAGTAGCTGGAGCTACAGGCGTGCGCTATCACACCCTGCTAATTTTTTGATTTATTGTAGAGATGAGGTCTCTCCAAGTTGCCCAGGCGGGTCTTGAACCCGTGGGCTCAGGCAATCCACTCACCTCAGCCTCCCAAGGCATGGGATTACAGGCTGAGCCACCGAGCCTGGCTCATAAAGATTTCTTAAAACTCAGTAACAAAAATAATTTTTAAACGGGCAAAAGATCTGATATTTTTCCAAAGAAGACACACAAATAGCCAATATGCACATGAAAAGATGCACATTATTAGTGATCAGAGAAAGGCAAATCACAGCCACAGTTATCCCACTTCACACCCACCAGGATGGCCATGATTAAAAAAGACAAGTGTTGGTGAGATTGTCGAGAAACCAGAATCTTTATACATTGCCGATGGGAATGTAAAACAGTAAAGCTGCTTTGGAAAAGTCTGACATTTCCTCAAAAAGTTAAACACAGAATTCCCTTATGACCCAGCAATTCTACTCCAAGTACATACCCATGAGAAGTGCCAACGTGTGCCCACCTGAAGACATGTATACGCATGTTCACACCAGCACTATTCACAACAGCCAAAAGGAAAGATGACCCAAATGCCCATCAACTGGTAAATGGACACACAGAATGTGGTCTGTCTACACTATGGAATGTTATTCACCCTTAAGAGGGAAAGAAATTCTGACATGCTACAACACGGATGAACCTTGATGACATCATGCCAAGTGAAGGAACCAGTCACAACAGACCACATACTGCATGACTCTCCCTACATGAATGCCCAGAACAGGCAAATCCAGAGAGATGGAAAGTAGACTAGGGTTTCAGACTCTGGGGAGGTAGCCTGGGGAGTGACTGCTCATGGGCGGGGTTTCTTTTTGGGGTGGTAAAATGTTCTGGAATTAGATATTGGCAATGGGTATGCAACTTTGTGAATATACTAAAAAGCACTGAAATGTGTACTGAAGAGTGAATTTATGGTATGTGAATTATCAGTTAAATAAAAAAACAAAACCAGACCAGTGAGCATTCTAGATAGCGACTGGGCCCCGAAAGCTGCCCGTGGCCAGGCCAGGCCCTAGCATCTGGGTGGGTCTTGCCAGTCCTCAGGCAGGTACACAGCACAGCCATGGGAGGAAGATGGGGAGCCAGAGGCTCCCGCACTGTGTTGTGCAGCCCGTTTGTGAGTGAGTGTGCAACTGTGATCTGATTTTGCTTTGACAGAATTTTAGATGTTGAGAAGAGTTGCAAATAGGACAAGAGACTCCCAACTTTGATTCCGTATCAGTGCTAAGCTCTGGAGATCAGCATCTGTAACCTTCCTTGGAACATTCCAGATCACTCCTGGGGAGTAAATGCTGCCTCAGGAGGCCACGTCCCTTGCGGTGCTGGTTCCTTCCCCTGCTGCCCTAGACATAGCTGCGCCCCCGGTCAGAAGGCCACAGTCAGCCAGGAAGCAGTGTTGGCTGCTGTTTTCTCTGTCCTGCTGACCAGGAGAGGGCTGGCGGGAGTACTGGAAGAAGTCACATCTGCATCTGCTTTGTCCCCAGAGTTTTTGTAGACAACACATGTGAGGGCTGCACTGCTGCCTGGGAGAGGTGCTGTATGCATTTTTAAACACAGGACTCCCAATGTACTGTTTTCTTTTTAAAAGTAGGACCTCTAGATTTCATCTGGGAACTGAAGTCATTTCCTCAGGAAAGTCTGCAGCTTAGAACAACAATGTTGATGTGGTCACCATCAGGCATCCCCCTGCCCTGCTGGAAGCTTCTCCCCTCTTCTCATGGCACTCATTGTGGTGGACTCATCATTGGCGCCTCACGTCACCACTCAGTGTGACATCTCTGGAATCAGATACTGAGGTCAGCCTGGACACTGCCTGTGTCTGCCAGAGGCTCCTGCCTCGCTCATTCTTCTGAATCCTGGACAGTCTTCCCGGAATCTCACTGGTCTCCCAGGAATTCTGCTTATCCTGGCCTCAGCGTCACATTGACAGCTCCTGAAATCTTATGTACCTGCCTCACCTGTTGGGGACGCTCATGGAGGCTGCCGGCTTAGGACACAAACCTTGGGCCACCCAGTGGGGTGCCACTGCTCTGCCCATGCCCTGACCCTAGGGTTTCTGGGGGTGGTGGGGGAGGGAGTCACGAGAAATTCATGGCAGGTGTTGTAACTGTTACCCAGGAGCAGAGGAGGGGAACCCATCCCGACCAGCAGGACAGGGCAGCTTCTCTACCGAAGGCCTGGTCGTTAGGCCACATGCAGGCCCAGATGGGACATCTGTGATGCAGGAGGCAGGCTTTGCTGGGATGCTGAGTGCATATGCCCTGAGGAGTTGGGAGGGGCGTGAAGGGCACGCCCCGGCACTTGGGTCTCAGTGTCCACATGCTGGCCCAGGCGGCTCTGGGGACTGCCCACCGAAGGGCTGTCCCATCCTTCACTACCCCATACAGACCAGGAGGTGCCTGCTGTGTGTGGGGCTTGCCCCATGCAGACTCAGACTCGGGCCTGGACCCAGCAGTGACCTGGGACCCTTGAGGCCCCCACTGGGCTGGGCACAAATGGGGGATGCAGGGATGGGGAGAGGCCTCCATATTGCTGGGGTTGGGGGATTGTGGGCTTCATCGAGGAGGAAAGGAGACCACAGAGGAGTGGGAGATGCTGCAGCGTGGGCTGTGGGGCAGGGGCAGGCCAGAGGGGCGGGGCCAGTGCTGAGGTTGGGTCGGGCTCAGGCGAGATGCTGCCCCGTCCCCTGCTGCCCCTCACGTGGCCTAGGGCAGGTCTGTGGGCTGCTTGGCCCAGCACTTCCTTGGGAAGGCGAGCAGGGCAGAAGCTCAGAATAGGCTGCAGCAAAAGGCAAGTCTGCCCAGAGCCTGGCCCTGGGGACCCTGGAGAATGAAGGGGCCCTGGTCTCGTTCCTGAGCACACTCAAGTTCTGTCTTGGCTATGGTAGCTCTTTTGTGGGTGAGCCAGTGGCTCCCACTCTCTCAAGGCCAAGTCCCTTCCTCCCAGGTGCCAGGGCAGCCTCAGACCAGCCAGAATGCCCAGAAATCTGTGGGGAGGCACCCCTCCCCAGGTCTGCAGGGACAAAACACTTGCCTATGGTGAACAGATCCCAGCTGGGGGGCTCCCTGCATGTGGTCAGGATAACTCCTCCACTACACTCTACACTGGGGCTCAAGGGGATGACGTTGACCCAAAGGCAGTAGAGGTGAGATTCCAAACCTCACCCCCTACCAGCCAGGTTGGGCACCCTTGAGGCACGCACCACAGGCTAAAATATGCTGTCCTGCATTCATGCAGATTGAGAGGGGGACATGAGAATCATCAGCACCACAGAATTGTCATAAACAAAAAAGAACAACTGAGAAACATGTTTTCCCTCCTTGTAACTGATATGCTAGAAATGACTTGCAGTTTTAACAGTGAGACCCAAGCAGGAAGGCTTTGGTCACTTCACTCAGCTCAGCAAGGCCTCCTGCTTCTTGTTCCACAGATCATGACAAAAGCCCCCGCGGAGCCACCTGGGAACACCCTTTCTCACTGTCAGTAAGCAGAGAAATTAACATTTACAACAAATTGTGAGGTCCCAGGGCCACCGGACAGCTTGAATAGGCTTTGTATTGGCTCAAATATCAATGATGTAACACCCCCCCCACGGTGCCCATGCTGATGTGTGCCTGCAAGTGCATGTGTGGGGCCACTATTCACAGGGGGAAGGAGCTTTGCACAGGGATCTGTGCCCACCCACCTGTCCTTCCATCCCCCAGCCCGGCTTCACTGGCCCTCACCTCTGGAAGGATTTGAAGATGGAGGACAGTGAGGATGGCATGGTGCTGCTGAAAGGTGGTTGCTCACCCACCTTCAGGGGACTTTGTCCAGAACAGGGTCCCTGCCCGCCCCAGCCCCCCAGGGGAAGGGGCAGTCACTCACCAGCCTCCAGGCCTCCATGCCACCGTGGAAACTGCACGGCCAGGCAGAGCTGCAGTGCCAGCTGGGTCTTCCCTGCTGAGCTGTGGCCGGCCAGCTCTGTGATGCCCTCCAGGGGCAGGCCACCACGGAGGAGCCTGTCCAGCACAGGGCAGCCGAGGCTCAGGCGCTGATGCTGTGCAGGGAAGCTCTCCTTCTGTAGATGCAGGTGCAGCGCTGCGGGGCAGAGACATGTCAGGCCTGGGTCCCTGCCAGGCGCCCATGCCCCCCCATCCTCCACATCCACTACTGCCCTTGCTGGGCACAGTGTGGCTGGAGGACAGGTGACCGTGGGCACATGGGGTGGGCAGGGTGCCTAGGGCAGGGTGGGGTGGCTGGGTTGGGAAGCAAGTGCGCACAAGACATGGTCCAGCAGAACTGCCCATCAGACTCAGCGTCGTCATGCCACAACCCCACTGGACATGTGCCTAAGGAAGACTTGCCAGCTGCACAGGGCCCAGAGCGCAGATCGGCCTCTCACCCCAGTGGGGCAACCAGAGCGGGACGCTTTCATCACTGCTTCTGGAGAGATCTAAGGTGCTCCCTGACTGTCTCAATATTCAGAGAAATTAACAGGGCTGTTTGAGTTGGCTTTAAGTTGGCTCAAATATCGATGAGGTAAAACAAAAGGAGGCATGTCCTGCAGCAAGAGAACTTCCACGGATGCCTCCTGAAGGGAGCCACTTGGACCCCAGCCTTGTCTCCTGTAAGTGCCTCCTCTAGGGGGCAGGTGGGGCATTTCCTAGGGGAAGGGCTTTGTAGCCTGACTTGCATCCAGCGCCCCCATGCCAGTCAGTCTTGGTGACAGATGCAGCTCTAGAAGGATCCCGGTCAGAGCCTCTGGGCCACATGGCCTTGCACAAGCCATCTGACACCTCCTCCTCAGTGATACCAGGGCCTCTTGGGGAAGATTCAAGGTGGGACACATGGTGCCAGGGGCACCCCAGCCAGGAGGAGCAGGCAACACGAGAGCAAGGCCACAGGGAGCCCGACCCACAGCAGGAAGCCCGGCCCATGAGAGAGTGTCAGCAGAGCTGCACATGGCTGTGGGGCTCACCATGGCAGTCCCAAGTTCAACAGACCCACAGGGTCATCTGCACGGGAGGGAGGACCCTGGCTGTCTATAAGGGTGGCTCAGATGCCTCATTCACTGGGCACACAGGGCTCACCAGGAGACAGCAAGCAGCCCAGGCTCCCCAGCACAGGAACCAGCTGGGGTCTCTCCCTCCCCTGCAGGCCTGGGCTGTATGCAGGAGGCCCAGACCCAGATCACACCCCATGGTGGGATCCCAGGCAGGCCCCAACCCCTCCTGGCTGCAACCCCTCAGGTACTGCCCTGCAGCCTTCTGCTCCTGGCCAGGCAGCCCCAGGGGCTCTGGATTCTGACTGCCAACTCTGCCCCTTCTTGTGGCCCCCACTTTGTACCCTCTCCTGTGGCCCAAGAAGCAAGGGCTCCCTGAGGCCCTGCAGCCCTTCTATATCTTCCCAGTGTGTCCTCCAACCCAATGCTGTGACCGCAGCCCAGCAGGTATAGGACAAGCGAGACCAGAGCTTCTAGCTCAGAGCAACCGCCAGCAGGGTGTTCCTGGGTAGAGTGTGCACAGCCACTGGTCACCCAGCAGAAACCCAGGCCACCAGTGTCAATGTTCACCCACCTGTACAGACACGGCTTCCCCGAAGGTGTAAGGAGGCAGTTCTCAGCAAGCGCTGGACCTCGGGGCTGGAGAGGTTGGTCAGTCTCTGCAAGTCCGGTCCAGAAAAATGCAACACGTCCTTTACTGATTTAAGTTTGGCTGGAATTGCACAGATACATTCCAGCAAAAAGTCAGACTACAGCTGAGCACAGTGGCTCACACATGTAATCCCAGCACTTTGGGAGGCAGAGGAGAGAAGACTGCCTGAGTCCAGGGGTTCGAGGCCAGCCTGGGCAACCTGGCAAGATCTCGTCTCAATAAAAAAAACTAACCTGGTGTGGTGGCGCATGCCTGTGTTTCCAGCTACTTGGAAGATTGAGGCAGAGGGATCGCCTGAGCCCAGCAAGTCGAGGCTGTGGTGGCTGAGAGCGTGGCCACTGCACTCTAGCCTGTGCAACAGAGTGAGACTCCAACTCAAAAAAAAAAGTCAGACTACAGCTACACGAGGCAACACAGCAGTGACAAGAGAGTCCTGGGAGAAGATTGTGAGAGCGCTTTGCTTCCAACTCAGTGCAGTGGGGACCAGGCCTGCCTGCTCCCTGAAGCTCCCAGGAAATCCTGGACAGAGTGTGACAGAGATAGACAAGAGGGAAGGGACCACTGGACACTTCTGCCCTGGGCTGTGAACTGTGGGCAGGTGCCAGCCTTACCCAAGCAGCAACAGAAGCCAGAGGATGGGGAAGGGCAAATCCCAGATGCCGGGAGGAAGTGGCCATCACCCAGTTCCACACCTGCTGGAAACATCTCAAGAAAGACGCAGCATAAAATTACCAACACTGAGGCTTACCACCCCGCCCACCCACAGGCCTGCACACCCTGCGAGGCTGATGGCTGAGCCATGGTCATGGAGATGTGCCCAAGGGATAGACACCCAAGGAAAGCAAAGCCTGGGTCCAAGCAAACATGAACTGTGCAGGACGGTCAGGGTAGCCTGGGGGGCACAGAGCACGTGGGAATTAGGGAGTGCGCTGGTCATAGAGGGACAGACCCTGAGGACCTGCTGTTCTGAGAGTAGATGAGTTAACTGGGGCTTGGATAAGTGCATGGCTTTCTACTTTCAAACTAGCGGAAAGAAAACAAATGTCACAAATATCTCTAAGTGATCTAGAAGGCGGCAGATAGCTCACCCCAGAAGGGAGATTCCAACCCCGACATCTCGGAAGTGCCTTCGATACACATGTCCTGAATTCTCCACTCAAGACAGAGATCATCAGACAGGATGAAAGGAAAAATAAGACTCGGCTACTAAGGAGCTTTTTGAAAAAACAGCAGAGAAAACAAACTATAGAAAGGCTGGCCGGGCTCGGTGGCTCAGCTTGCAATCCCACGCTTTGGGAGGCCAAGGTGAGTGAATTGCCTGCACCCACGAGTTCGAGACCCGCCTGGGCAACTTGGCGAGGCTGCATCTCTACAATAAATAATAATTTTTAAAAAATTAGCTGGGCGTGGTAGTGCGCGCCTGTAGTTCCAGCTACTTGGAAGGTTGAGACGGAAAGATCGCTGGAGCTCAGCAGGTCGAGGCTGCGGTGGCCGGGAGCGGCCACTGCACTCCAGTCTGGGTGACTGAGTGAGACTCCAACTCCAAAAAAAAAAGATTGGAAGTAACAAGCTCCTGCAGGTCCCATCAGATCAAAGCAGACGGACTTCAGGCGAAAAGTTCTGCTGGAGAGGAAGGTTCTATGGGAGGCCTAAGGGCTTGGCTTGGATCTGTGGGATGGCTCCTCTGGTCAGGCCTCATGGCCTGGCTCCCTTTACAGCTGGAAGGTCTGCTGGAGCTTCTGGAAAAGTTTGTTTTCTGACAAGAGACACAGGTGAGACAGGAACTCCCTGGCAGAGTCTGCTTTCCCATCTCTGTCCCTGAACTGCAGGCATTATTTTTGAAGCTGTGGCAGTCATTCTGTGATCATGAGGTAGCCAACAGCCAAGGATGATGGAGTAGGACAGGGCAGGTCTTCCTGCCTGTCACCAAGCTGCTGCAGCAGCCCTGGGCATACTCAGGGTTCCTCACCATGTACGCAACAATATGCTAATGTTTAAGCATCCCCAACTGTTGTCAGGATCAGGAAGACAAAAGGAGAGTCCCAGGACCACATGTGCAACAGGCCTGGAGGGCAGCTTGGAGCCAGTGCAGGCCAGTGCAGATTGGAGCCGGGGGGCTAGGGGTTGCCAGGATGGCCGGGGATGGAAGTGCCAGGAAACAGACAGGAGTTTAGAAAAGAGCTGATAAGCCAGGCTTGGTGGCTCAGCCTGTAATCCCGCGGCTTTGGAAGGCTGAGGTGAGTGGATTGCCTGAGCCCGCAGGTTCGAGGCCCGCCTGGGCAACTTGGTGAGACTTCATCTCTACAATAAATCAAAATGAGCCAGGCGTGGTAGCGCGTGCTTATAGTTCCAGCTACTTGGAAGGCTGAGGCGGAAGGATCGTCAGAGCCCAGCGGGTCAAGGCTGCAGTGGCCGGGAGCGGCCATTGCACTCCAGTCTGGGTGACAGAGTGAGACTCCAACTCAAAAAAAAAAAAAAAGAAAAGAGCTGATGGTGCCTGACAGACCCACTGGAGTAAGTGGAAAAAATTGGAAGTACACAGAAAACTCATTCATGTAAAAAAGGCAACTACTAACTCTAGGGGAAAGAAATGCTACAAGAAAGAAAGCAATGACCACCCCCAACTACACCAGGTTCAACAATGGCCAATATGTACCCAGCACAACCCTGATGGCTGATGTGACTCAAACTATGTTCTGACTATGTAGGGGAGGGGCAGAGGATGTTGGGGCAAGCGAAGTGCAAGCCAGTGCAGCCCTCATCCCTGACAGGAAGTCCATGAGTAGCTGAAAAACCAAACACAGCTACATAAGCGCATTACTTGGGAGCCCAGATGTAATTATTAAAATTGCTAAAAGATTCATAAGTTTGGTTCCATTTCACTTTGTTTTATTTTTTGAGTCAGAGTCTCACTGTGTCGCCCAGGCAACCTGCTGGGGTCAGGTGATTCTTTCACCTCAGCCTTCCAAGTAGCTGGAACTACACCATGCCTGGCTAATTTTTTTTTCTTTTTATTGTAGAAATGAGGTCTTGCCAAGCTGCCCAGGCTGGCCTCAAACCCCTGGGCTCAAGCAGTTCTCTCACCTCTGCCTCCCAAAGTGCTGGGATTAAAGGCATGAGCCACTGCACCCAGTCTCCATTTCACTTTTTAGCTGATATGCATATACAGTTTTTTTTTTTTAAGTTAGAGTCTCACTCTGTTGCCCAGGCTAGAGTGGCATAGTCACAGCCACTGCAACCCTGATCTGCTGGGCTCAGGCAATCCCTTTGCCTCAGCCTGCCAAGTAGCTGGGACTACAGGTATGTGCCACCATGCCTGGCTAGTTTTTAAAAAAATTTATTGTAAGCTGGGCTCAGTGGCTCAGCCTGTAATCCCAGCACTTTGGGAGGCTGAGGTGAGTGAATTGTCTGAGCCCGCGGGTTCGTGACCCGCCTGGACAACTTGGCGAGACCTCATCTCTACAATAA